TATATATATATATATATATATATATATATATATATATACATGGTCTATTTTGAATCTGCATATATACCAGTGATACAAGTCTACCTTGTTTAAGGACACATTTATCAAATTTTGTACTTTAAAGGAACACTGGAAATGTACTACTGCAATACAGGTAATTTTTTAGTCACCACCATTTGTTTAGCGACCATTCAAATTTACAACGGCATAAAAAAGTGACTTATGACTGGTTTTCACACTTATGACCATTGCAGAATCAATGGTCATATGATCAAAATATGGGCAGTTGATAACTGGAATCTATTTATAGTCATGTGTTAATTTTTAAGCTTCCCAGCTGACTTCCAACAAGTCATTGGGAGGATTCAGATTTGTTTCACAACTACATGATTCATTTAACAGCTGCACTGATTCACTTAACAACTGTGGCAAAAAAAGATCATGAAATGGGTACAACTTAGCAATGGAAATTTTGAGCTCAAAGATGGTTGTAAATCAAGGACTATATATAGTCAGTATTCATTATCTTAGAAATTATTAGTGTCTGGCTTGGACAAAACCAAACAAATTTTTCTGAGCAAAATGTGGCAATAAATTTGTTCAGACACAATAATTTGTTATTCTCACCCTTATGATTTCTTTTTTTTTTAACAATGGAGGTATACGTTGCTTTGTGAGTAGCTTTAAAACAGAAATTAAAAGCTTACATTTTGATGACAAAGTATTATATGATTAATTCAGGTGTAATTTTCAATAGTTGCTTTTGAATTAATTCCACAAAGTATTTTAGTTTTAAGTATCTTAAGTAAAACTAGCAGTCAATTTAAGGCTCTTCAAACTATTATACAGTAGATAGCAATAGCAATATCATCTCAGTATCAGGACTACTGATAAAAGCTGGACCTTTCCTGAAAAAGTAACATTTTCATTTTGGAGGCCATGAAATTACATGCCCAAAAATGTAAGCTCTCCTGGTCAAATTGTATGTTTCAATAGAACTGAACAGAAGCTCTTCACTTTACAACACAAAACATAATATTAATTCCTTCTGCAGACTTGGTCAACATACTATTCAAGGCATGTGTGGAGGTTAGGACATCTTTCCAGTTCATAATTTATGGCATCTATTCAGTGGAAACACCAGTTTCCAATGTTTCCGGTAACTAATTTAGAATCTTCCTGTTCCTTTTCTGGATCCCCCCCCCCCTTCCTATATAACTCTTCTACCTCAGAGCTCCAACCAATAAGGGTTCAGGAAAAAGTAAGTGATATATTTCTTTTAAAAAACACAAATCCTATAGATTTCCAATTAATCTAGAAAGGAAAAGCAGGAACACTAAGTAAACAATTTGCTAAAATATGTAACACGGTGCCCAAAGCTATTGTGCAAGTGGGTGTATATATAAATAAATAAATACTGTGGCATCTCACATTTTTGTATATATGAAGAATGGTACAGAAGGCTAAATGTCACATAAAGACATAAAATGTACCCTGTCCTTTCATTCAGAAAGCAGAAACATTTAAATACTCAATTCTTTGCTTTTTAGCTACATTGAAAAATTTCCGACTTCTGATAGTATCTGTTTAAAATAAGTATACATGTAATACAGAATGGACTTAATCATATTAGTCTCAATTGATAATATATCCACTTTATTAAATGCATTATCACCAATTAACAGTAAGCCATTCAACTCATAGAACTTTCATATAACATTTTGTCGGAGGGTAGGGAGGAATAAATTCCTGAACTTTATTTTGCAAAACAGTAGCAATACAAAGGCATGAAATAAACTTGTATCTCACAACAAATGTAAAAAAAAATCCTGCATATTGTTTTCATGCAAAATGGAGTCACCCTGGATGTTTGTGCAGTTTTGACAATTTATTCTAGCCTTATACACCAATATCATGAGAAATGTACTGTTCCCATGGTAACTTCAACAATCAGTGCATAGGCAGTTACTGAAGTACTATCTCCTACTTTAAATACAAAGTATTTCATGGCTGTTTTTCAGTTTAATTTCAAACTGAAAATCTAGCAATACTCAATATACTTCCTATTTTATACTTAAAATTAAAATGCCTTAATTAGGACTCAAGGTTTTTTTTAAGAATTGTATTGCTTTTAAAATAATGCAATTTGAGTTTTAATCAGACAAACTTTTTGTCTGATGTTAAAATCTAGAAACACAATGGACACTGGGAAGCATTGAGGAAATTCATTCACATCTCATTGCTTCTCTGTAAGGTGTTCCTCCATGAGCCCAAAGCTCACTGCCCAAAAGTATAGCCTCTGTGCATATCTTGAAGCATATTGTGGAAGAGCCATGATCAATTCTGGTGCCTGTTCTGAAGCTCAAAATCAGCATGAGATAATCTGCCTTAGACACTAAATAAGATGTAAATAACCAGGTTGCAACAACAGAGCTCAGTTGCAGCTCATTGATGGTTCATTAACAAAGTATGGAGAAAACAATACTATGAACATTGAAAATATTATAAAAGTTCAAAAAATATTCAAAAAACTTAAACTTATGATTTTTAATATACACTTTATTGGGGAAGGCACTGGGTGGTCTCAAGTAGAAAATATTACAATGGTTTAAGAAAAAATACTTCATATAAACTGAAATGTGAAGTGGGGAGTTTTTTAAAAAATTAAAAGAAGTTAAGTCACAAATCATAATGTCTGATGATAAATAATTACATGGAATATTTTATGGCTGTGGCAAAGCTCCCAATTTGCTTTCCCCCCCTCCACAAAATATTAGTTGTAATATATAAGATAGACATCAAAATAATTTATATTTACAAATTCATCATAGCTAAAATGTAGTAAGCTATACTGTTGCTGTTTCTTATAAAATAAAATTAATAAGGCTTAATGGACTGCATCCAAATTAATTAATGTGAATTCCAAAATTTATTTCAAATGAAACTGAAGGAAGAATTCAAAGTTTTCAAACTTCAGTTTCTTTAGCATAATAGAAAAATACAAATACATCTCCTTGTATACAAAAATAATTAGCTACAATTATAGCTACATGATCATGTTACGCCATTGCTTCATCTATACTAAAAATTGTAGGATATTGTCATATTAAATGTGCAACTTGTAGAAAAACATTTATCTTCAATTTCAGTAATTTCTGGAGATCATAAAAGTGCTATAATCATAGGTCACACATTTCAATGACCTGACCAAATTATGTTTAATCCTAATTTTCATTCTGTAAACTTTTATTCAAGTTAGTAAAGTATATGTGCATGTGTGTTTGTGTGTGTATATATATATATATAAAGACACACACACACACGGTAGCGATAGAATTTTAAATGGTGTGGTGAATTTTTAAGATGTTTAGTTTGCATTTCAGTTTTAAATTTGGTAGTATATGAGCCAAACACGTTCATCTTTTTCACTCACAAATAGCTTCAGATAGCCTCCATGAAATATATTTTGTGAAATTGAAATGGCTTAAATGAACAATATTCATCATGTTTTGACAGCTGGGAAGAGCCCTTTATATATATATATACTTTAAGACTACTGCCACCTCTCCAATCTATTAAGTCTTTGCCTTCTGAGTTCCTCAACTGATAGTTCTTCTGGTGAAAGCCAGAAGCCATATGGCCTCCTTTCGCTGGTGTAATGCCTTGTATTGCTGCCTGTAAGACCAAACAAAGAAACAAAAAACAAATGTCAAAAGACAAATTTAATATACATTCTTCTAACATTGAATCAAGCCCATATTTATTTCTATAGTTAATATATTAAACTGAGAAGTACTGGTACCTGGTTTTAATCACTTGAAATGAAATATGGACATCTATCTCCTTTAGAATTCTAAGCTAATATTCCTTTTACAATATGATCTACACTGATTTGAAACTTCCAAACTTTGGATATAATCCAAAATTATAGTGAAACTTCTACACCCAGTGCTTTTCTTCTGTATTCAGAATCCCAACTGGGAACTGTGTTCTCAGGAATAATATTTTTCTATTGTTTAAGGCATTTCCATAAGAAACAATGAAACTGATTTTTTTTGGTCATACAAGTTCGTTTTTGTTATTTTGAAAAAAGAAATCAACAGAAATTGCTAATTAAATTGCAATATAGCAATAACATTTAGACTTATATATCACTTCACAGTGCTTTACAGCTAAGCAGTTTACAGAATCAGTCTATTGCTCTCAACAATCTGGATCCTCATTTTTCCCACCTAGGAAAGATGGAAGGCTGAGTCAACCATGAGCCAGTGGGAATCAAACTGTCGAACTGCTGATAGCCAGCAGTCAGTAGAAGTAGCCTCCAGTACTGCATTCTAACCACTGCGCCACAACGGCTATATGTCATAGTTAGCATAATAATTATAAAAATGGTTCTATATAGGAACAATCCATACAGTGGGATTAAATATTATGTTTTTACTTGGAATATGGTGGCTTTATAAAGGGCTATTTGAGTTTTTGGAAGGTACAACTAACTAATTAAAAGACCTAACAAGGAAGCTAAACTACTTCCTTTAATAGCAAATTCTGGGGATAAAACAGCAGTGAGAATTGCTATCATTAAACACTCCACTTTAAGAACTTCTAAATTCTAGGATTTGGAAGTCAAATGCATAAGAAGACTAGGTTGAGAAAAACTTAATTATATATTTCTCTACCTTCCCTAATACTATTTGAAATGGAGTGCTATACAATAACTAACCTGCCTTCCTTTTAACAATTGCCATCTATAACAGAGTTAGATGAGTTATCTTATGTTTCCTATATCTGCTATTTAAACTAAATGGTATCTTTGAAACATTGTAAATGCTAACAACACCATAGCACTTTCTTAAAGGTGTATAATAATAACTTCTGGCTTTAATGCTCCCAGACTGAGCTTCAATGCAACCAGTCTCAAAAAAAGAACACAATATGCAAGTGGGTTCACTTTCTTTCTGGTTGCAGAGGCCTTAAAATATAGGTCAAATCTTCTTCCTTTGGGTCTTTCTTCAAGAAATCAATGCTTCCTGGTTGTTTATATTATCTTTGTTTTCATTATATAAAGACCCCTTTCAAAACTGGTATTACTCAGGATCAATTAAACTGCCACCCTCAACAGTTTCATCCAGCACACTGATAAAAGAATGTACTTTGTAGCAGTGTAGTGGACTCTGATGATTGGGACAAAGAATTCTCTCTTAATGGCAATAATTCTGGCCATAATGTAGAAGAAAAAATGGAGAACATTAAGACTCCTATGCACTCTTCACCAGTAATTGTCTCAGAACCACTCTCATTTTTTTTCTCAAGAGAATGAAACTGTGCTTCTGGGTAAATAAATAAATAAATAAAAAAACCTAGCATACATTTAGTATGTAGGAGACATTTTTATAATGTTTGAAACAAATTAATAGTTACTGTTCCAGTAAATTAGGAATTCTACCTCAGGTCCTGCTTCACCTCTTCCAGCAGATGTCTCCAGAGGTTCACGGGCAGCACATTAGAGAAAGTAGGCCAAACCCCAGTCAACAAAACATTCCGCATAGTAAGCAGAATTAGGGCTATTTTGAAACAGATGGGGTCTACGGAAGCTGTAACTCTATTATAGACTTGTTTATTGTCTGCCTTATTTGAAGCCCAGGGATTATTTGCAAGTATCTAGCATTTTCTATGTCACTCTGGATTTCATCTAATGCAGAATAGAGTGAAAAGGATGAATACACACATACGCAGACACACAGAGAGACACTTTTTATACTAATCCACCATTGAATTCACAATTTAAACATGCTATTATGTGGTTTATGCAGCAAAGGATTTTTCTGTAAAGATCAGCAATGTAACAAACATCCTAACTCTGATTCATAATAGGATTTAGTCAGCTTGAAAAAGCACAGAAACATACTTTTAACTTTGCAATCTGGAAATGAAATGTATTTACAAACGATTGAATTTAAATTAAGATTTTTAGAATAAAGTGATGGCTTAAAAAGATCTCCTGGGTATTCTCAAAAGTTGTATGGTATGGTATTTCTACAAAGATTTTCCAAATCTATGATTCTTTAGGCTACAATTCTTATCACCCATAGAATACAAGGTTGGGATGGGAAAAGTAGTCAAGAAATATCCGAAAGGCACTCAGAAGAGACTATTGTACAGCTTCATTTTATATCCATCCTTATTAAGAATGAGAATTTTAAAAAATGAAATATTTTTCAGCTTGAAATGTACAAAACTTTTTCCACTGTAAAGGACAGTAGCAAAATAGCAAATATATTAAAAATGTAGAATATATGCATTGCAAGTAAAAGAGCTAGCAGTTAATTGAGAAGCAAATAATCATAAGTTATAATCATTGAAGGAACAGAGGAAATGTGTATCTTCTCTCTTTCATAAAGTTTATCCTATGCAACAGCGTCTTCCCTGGAATTCAGAGGTCCCCAATTTGGGTTTTCTAGAAGGCCATTGTCTTGACTTTTTCCCCTGGACTTTAGGGCAAATTTGTGAACTTGTTATATAGTACCTTGGTATTTTACTTTGGAGTATTTTAATTTTTTGTTGTTGAAAATTGGTGCTAACTACCAAGGGTTATTTATTTAAGATGGGTGACCATATACATTTCTTAATAAATGAATACATTTAAAAATGATTCTCTAGCAATAAGAGCAGTTATCTTAAATCTTGTGTCTGTCAGGTATACTGGAACAATCATTTCCAAAATTTCTAGCCAGTGTAAGCAATATTGCATTGAAATATTAGGAACTTGGGAGACTGTTGGATTGTGGAAAAAAAGAGCAACTTTGTTCTTAAAGGAGAAACTGAGCTGACAAGAATTGAAGAAGCCAAACCACAGATGCAAAATAAAGCCAAGAAAATGTTTATATACAACAAAAGCATTTCTTTCTTTCTTTTTCCAATTAACTTTTTTTGCTTGGGCATATAATTCAAAATTATAATTTTAAATACTTATTTTTATAATTTTTGTTAATTCAGTTGGGCCTCAGCAGACTGTAACAGCTGGAGGACTTCATCTAAATTTGAAAGTTAAGCAGAATTGAGCCTGGTTAGTATTTGGATGGTACTTCCAAGGAATACCAGAGCTGCAGTTCTAGATAGGGAAGTTGAAAAAATTAGCTTGCAGAAAGGCAGTGGCAAATCAAGTCTGTATTCCTGACAAAAGCTCTACAAAGTAAGCTTTGAAGTCAGTAGGTATCAAGTTCAACTTGCATCACTTGTAACACCAAGACATTATTTCATTTGCCCAAATTCAGAGAGCTCCTCTGCATATAATAAAAAGAATACATGACTAAATCACTGTTTTGGAGTTTGCCATTTGGATGCAAGTCAGAAGAAGCAAAAGGCAAAAAAAATGAAAATATGCCTGTATGCAATGGCACTGGAGGAAACAGGGCACAGAATATAGATTCAAACTACTGTATAGTACTAGAGTATATACTCTTTATTGTATTTATACCACCCTATTTCCCCCCTCACAGGTTTCAGTATCCTCCTATTTTAAAAATAAAGTGAAAACCTACATTACTGATTTGAAGAAATACCTTCTCTTTGACTGGAAGGAATGCAAGGGTATGCAGGATGCACAAATGGCCAATGTGGGCACAGAGAGGTTGGAGGGTGGGTGCATGAGTCGGGGAATTTTACAACTTATGACCTTCCCTTCCCATTGACTTTCTGGTGAAGCTGGCAGGGAAGGTTGCAAATGACAATCATGTGATTGCAACTATATATTAAAGTAAATTTAAAGAGTCTTCATAAGGAACAGTAAGTTCCGAATGAGACATACTGTATATACTCAAGTATAAGCCTAGTTTTTCAGCCCTCTTTTTGGGCTGAAAAAAGCCACCTCGGCTTATACTCGAGTCAATAACTTTTCCAGTTTTTTGTGGTAAAATTAGGTGCCTCGGCTTACATTTGGGTCGGCCTATACTCGAGTAT